GAGAGAGAGAGAGAGAGAGAGAGAGAGAGAGAGAGAGATTGGTTTTCACAGGTCTCCTTTCCAACTATGCAACTTCGATGAATGAGTTGCAGCTAGATTTTTTTACGTTGTTTCTCTATGTAATTTTTTTGTGTATAGAGTGTGCATTTACATTAACTCAACGCTTCATTACTTCCAAGTCGCATTTATTATTATTATTATTATTTTCCTGATTTTTCACTTGTTTTTACTATTCCATTTTTGCACCATTTTTTTTTTTGTAATAGATGTCTTATGTGCATTTTCAGAATAAAATTGTGTAATATTAGATATACACGCGCACTTACAGAATGATATATGGTTGAATGATAGGACTCTAAACAAATAAATAAATAACAACAATTATAAATAAATATCAAATTATGTATGCCTCTCATTCAGACAGAGTCTTAGAACATGCTATTTTTTCCACCACAAGAATGTTCTTTCTAATCACAAAGAAGAAAACCAAGCAGGAAGCCTAAGAGATGGCGAGTCTCTTCGTCACTCTCCCTACGCATTCCTTGCGAACGTTCTTATTCGCGTCTTCTCGCTCCTTGATTCCTCCGGCGAACCGTTTCTCCGGTGGATTCGACAGCGGAGTTAACTGGAGAAAGAGAGGATGCGTCGTTTTGACGCGGGCAGGAGCAAGTGCGAGTAGCTACTTGCTCGCTTTCGCCATCCCTGCGACTCTCGTCGCCGTCACCGTCTTTGCTTCCATTAAAATTGCCGATAAGCTCGATGAGGATTTCTTTGAAGAGGTAACATCCTTGTTTTGAGATTTTCTTGTTCTTTATATTGCCGAGTTCGTTCCGATTTCTCTGTACCGTTTGTAGTTGCTTCGTTCTAGGGCTGTTTCAGTTGGGTAATACAGAGGCAGAAATTTGTTCATCTCATTGCGCAATTTTGACTTGATAAGCTGTGTCAGTGGTGGATTCATGGTGAAGAAGGCTAATGAAGCATTAACTTGAAAACACTGGTATAACGGAGAATTAGGGAGAAACAGTAATAGAAAAATGTAGAGGTGTTCTTGGGTTTTGATAGAACTGAACGATCTGGAATCTACTTGAATTATGATGGAGAAAAAGCCCTCATGCCCGATGGACAAGGTAGTCATGTTCGTCATGATTCTTTCCTTTTTGGATTGAACGTATGTAATCGCTGGAATGAGGAGTATTTCAGGTCTAACACATGAAATCTGCTCACAAACACCTGAAATCCATTACATGAGGAATCCACTAAATCTGTTCAACAGTTGTGTCTGTGTCCAATGGAAATCCGTATCATTGTCTCATTCGTTGCCGTAGAATGTTCTTCTAATCCCAGGGTAGTCTTTGAACGTGTCTGTGAACTTTGATATGGAGGGCTTGGACATAGATCGACATATATATCGGTTTATGGTGTGATTCTCCTAGAGTTCTTCAGAGTACATTGCTAGTTTTGCTCGATAGAACGCAAATGATGTTCGTAGGCACTATGTACGGGACTCTCTTTGGTGAAACCCGCATGAATGTAGGCGTCCAATGATGTGAATTCATCACAGCAGATCATGTTTGTTGTCATAAAGCTCCTATCTGAGTCGTTGTTTAACCCTCCACAAGCTTAAATCATCTAATCAGGATGAGCCAAATGCTAAATCTTGATGATGATTAGCAACTCAACTGTAATATACCCAAATATAGTGAATGGTTTCATACCCACATGATATTGATATATATCTACCATTGTATATCATATTTTGCAATGGCTTTTGCCACACAGGTTGCTTTGACACAATCGCTAAGGGAAGAAGCTCTAGATGGAGAAGAAGATGCTGAATCCGAAAGCTCTCTCGACGAGATGGTTCAGGAGCCCGTTCTTCAACGAACCCGTAACCGACCTAAACGTGAAGTTTAAACACCTTCTAGATATCATCACGTCATACACACGATTTGTTTCCAGGAGATTGATTCTTGGATTGGATCAGCTTATGTAGGTAAAGGATTCGTTAGATACCTCAAACATTGAACCTGTTGTGTCTGTATAAGCGTGTAACTTAATAACCGGGTCGACTTCCTCATATTATTATTATTATTATTATTATTATTATTATTATTATTATTATAATATTCTAAAAAAAGAATGAAATATCCTATGGACCCTAGGTTTCTCACGAGTTACATTCGCTTTTGTTTCAATACGTTTAAAACCCAAATAGAGACCAAATCCAAGAAAACAAAATTCATAAATGCACACCTAAGGATTTGTGGAAAAGGACCAACGTTTTTCGAAGTATTTCCCCCATTTTTTTCAAAAGGGTTAGGTAGGCATTGGTTGAAATTCGCATTTGTAACATGTTCTTATCTTTACAAGTTATAAATACTTAAGTGCCACGTATTTTCGGCAGATGGGCAATTAAAATACGTGGCAATGACGTAAAAAATGATCACAAATAAAAATGATCACAAATAAACACGATTCAATAATAAGTTGGCTTCACATTACAACAGCTTGGCATGCAAATTTTCAGATTTCATTCAGACAAGCATGTGCTCTTTCACCTCCTCTACATATATATATATATATATACACACAATAATAATTTCTTGGGAAATATGATTACTTCGGTCATTTTACCTATTTAATCATGAATGGAAAAAATAACTAATCAATCATGGAAGTTTTCCTTGTCTTGTCTTTTTTTTAATCATAGTTTCATGTTGGTTTTATTTAATTTAAATAATTAACCATCAATGCGTTGGTTTTATTATTAAGTAATATGTTAAATTTAGTTTGACTGTTGACATCAAATTTGTCTTTCCCCATGGTATTCGACTATTATCATATATTATTATTTGTTTTTCTTTTTTTATTGGTAAAGGTTATTTGCTACTTTTAAGTACATTATTTGCAATTACTTAGGCATAATCTATTGACATTCTTATGGTGCGATCTTATATTATCGGTTTAACCAATTATTAAGTGCCAATTGATTTGGGTTCGGTTATGAATATGTCTTTGTTTTCTGAATGGATAGAAAATAGGGATAATTCCATTTAAAACCCTGTACTTTTCTCTCGTCGCAATTTAAACCCTGTACTTTTTTTTGATCCAAAAAAACATTGTACTTTTAAAAATTGGCAATTAAAACTCTATACTTTTAAAAATTGGCAAATAAAACTCTGAACGAAAAAATATATTATTTAATGCTGACATGACATCCTAGTCATCTGCCACATCATCAATCCCTAATATTTAATAATATTAATTAATATAACATAAAAATAAAATAATAAAAATAAAAATAAAATTTTAAAAATTATACACATACATATATAATGAAATGATATACATATATACACATATATAAACATATTTATATATATACACACATATATAATATATATATATATATATGTTTTATATGCATATGTGGTATATGTATTTTTTTTCTAAAAATCATGCATATGTCACATATATATATGATTTTTAGTTAGAAAAGCATGTATATATCACACATACATATAAAACATATTTATATATA